CCGGGTCCTCTAGTTTCCTTCCACCGATAACAACCCCTATGAGCAAGCGAATTATTGAAATAAAATTGAACCGTGTGTTGGTCCCGAAATGACCTAGTTTGTGTTGAGTGGATGTTAAATCCAATTTATCTCTCTTGTGTGTAGTGGTCTTTCACACTGTCTCTCTCTCGTATTTGAATACTTCAGATTGATAATACTAACATAGCAAGGTTCGATATATATCATCTTGAAACCCTGGTAAGACTTTAATGGGTGGCCAGGTTACTGGGTTTGTCTTTTACCAAGTTTGGAATTTGGCAGGGTTTACTGGGATGGCCATCTAGGTTGCTCTAGATGGTAGCAATGAAAGAAGCAGAAGGTGTTAGGATGCGTAGACAATAAAACAGGGAAGCAAGGAAGAACAAGAAATAATAATTTATTTAGAAATGGCTGAGCACATGAAACAAAGTAGAATAAAAATAATAAATTCCCGACAGCTGAGATTTGAGGTGGGGGTCTTGGTGAATTGACTCTGTCACCTCCGTTTGGACTCGAAAAAGTAGATCGGAGACACAATCTCTGTCTCGCAAGATGTTGCTCCTGATTAAGGGAACGGTTTCCACTTCCAGTTGGCTGTGGGAGGATAAATAATTCCAATTTTGGAAAATACTGCAAAAGGGGCGCCCATATGTATGGGCCATCTCAGGCTGGTGAAAGGAAGCAGTAAGGCGCTTTCACAAATTACTGTTCTACATCTGTCAGAATAGTATCTGTGGAGTGTAGGTAGTGTTATTATCTCTCTCCCAGTTCTCTGATGGGGTCTGAATGAAGGATTTTGTCAGCTACAGTGGCCACCGGTTTAGTTTTATTTCATTTATGCTTCGTTAGGTACTCCTTACGGCGATATTTTTTTTCCGCAGTCTTGCCATTCAAATAGATTCGGGAAATGTGGTTCCTTGATGCCTTAAAAAGTGGCACCTTTTTGAGAAAGTTTTCTCACAATTGTGGCAGGTGTCCATAATTAAGGAATGTTAACTATAACATCAGGTGCATGATTGAGACATAGTGAGCATCTGAGAACCTTGAAAGGCTTAAAAATAAAATCCAAAGTTGGAACACCCAGTGAGAGAGGGTTGTATAACAAAAGGGTAAAAATTAGGGATGTCCAAGTTCAGATTTTGTTATAGATACCATACAGTAGAAAGGTTATTAGACTATAAACCTTTCGACCTACAAAATCTGAACTTGGGCATCCCTAACTTTTACCATTTTGTATTATCTAATTTACCATCTTAAGAATATTTTGGTTATTTCTATATAGAGAAATATTCATTGGTCTTCTTCCTCTATGCCATAATATGGCTACAGACATATTATATATATAAGATGTTTCTACGCTAAATCAAGATAGGCTGTCTCTACAGCTACAGCCATGATAGCCTGTCTCTACGGCACAGCCATGATAGCCTGTCTCTACGGCTACAGCCATGATAGCCTGTCTCTACGGCTACAGACATGATTGTCTGTCTCTGCTTAAGATTTTGGGTCAATTTTTTCATTAGGTGACCTGATAATCGATTGCCGTTCCTTTAGCTTTAGAGGTCTATACATTGAATGACCTGTGGTTTTATCCAGACACCATATAATACAGCTACAGACACCGGTCGCCATTTCCAGATGAATACTGACGGTTTAAATAGTTTGAAAACGTATCATGTATATTGAGTTAGTTGCTCAGCCCTAAGATAGACAATTTTAACCCTTGTCGGTGCACGTGGGGTCTCCGTGGACCCCATGCACATGTTTTATAGTGTTTTGTAATAACTACTGGGCACTGCTTTCTGAAATTTAGTGCCTTTGTCTCCTATACATTTTTACACGTAGCGAAGAGTTTGGTATTCATCTGCTTCCCACATGCAGAGTTCTGTTACATGCAAATCAGGCCCAATGCTTGAAGGGAACAAGGGATCCGATTGGACCCCTAACTTTCAACTCACATTAGGGATTTTGCTAATGTTTTTGCTGCCTGATACCATATTACGTACGCCAGAGTATTCTCTCTTTTAACATCTAAATGTTACAAATACCAAAAACTAAACCATGAATTCCAAATATTCAATGGTTTTGTATCAAGCGTGAATTGCCATTTAACCTCTTTATCACATAGTACACAAAGTAGCAATTTTGTGAGAATTATTAAATCTTTTCCATATGTCACTAAAATGTTTTTGTATAATAATTTAGTTTTTTTTCAGTTGTCAAATATGAATGCAAATAAAAACTAAACCGCTGCCTTTTTATTCAAATATATCTGTACGTAAAAACTTTGAATTATAACTGGGGTCCACATGGACCCCTTGATACCTGCTATGTGATTCTCACAACGTGAACCGACAAGGGTTAAGGGCTTTTAACACAAAATTAAGAAGTTTTATTCTCCAAAATATAATTGAGATTGGCCCTTTAACTGAGTCAATACATTAAAAATTCAATCTACAGTGTTTCTGGTTTTATTTTTCAGATTTGAGTTGTTTAAGTTACACAATCGAGAAATAATGGAAGAAAATCACGAAGAAATAACAGCCGACAATAATAAAAAAGATGTCCGCAAACTTCAAGAGGTAATATAATTATCATCAAAATCCACGTCACTGCTGTGTTTTTAACGTCCTACTATTCTGCTCCTACTGGGCTAATGAAAACGGCCATATGCAATACATTGTGCTAGGTGGGAAATTTTCCTCGGACAGCAGCGCTATGGTCAACTCTTTTATCGATTCTGACTGCCAGGGGGTCCTTGAAGTACACAGCAAGGTGTACATGGGACCTTGGTTTTTGTCCCAAGGTGAAACCATGAAACCACACTGGAAAATCCTGATGAACTTTTTTGGAAAGAGAGAGAAAGAAATGGGGTTTAACGTCCACTCGACACAAACTAGGTCATTTCTGGACTAACATATGGTTTAATTTTATTTCAATAATTCGCTTGCGCGTATGGGTCTTTAGCAGTGTGAGGAAACCGGAGGACCCAGAGAAAACTCTCTCTCTCTCTCCTTACTCACCGAGCCTCTGCGGCTCCCAAGACCAATTGGAGAATTTATAAAAATTAGAACACAAAGAATAACTATAAATAAAACCATGAATTATTGTCTGATGAAATTGAAACTTTGTACTGTGTATATCTAAAAGAGAGAGATAAATGGGGTTTAACGTCCACTTGACACAAACGGTGTCATATCAGGACTAACATATAGATTAATCTTATTTCAATAATTCATTTGCGCAGTGGGAGGAAACTGGGGCACGGAGGAAACCCACGAGGTTGGGCAGCCGACCGTGTATATTTTTAAAACAATCACATCAGTATTACATGTTTTGTTGAAAGACATGGATAGTAGTCAGCATGGCCACTAGCTGATATACTAGTAAATCACAGCAGTTAAAGGTCATAGAGGTTAACTGAGTACTAACGGGAACTAATAAGGTTAATGTCCTATATATAATAATAGTTGTTATCTCACAATAAATGAAATGAAATCGGGTTCAACGTCCAACTGTTCAGCATCGACTGGGCTAATGAAGACGGGCATATGCCATACAGTGTGCTACTCTTATATTGAATTCCAACTGCCAAGGGATCTTTCACATGGAATTCACTGTGTACAGGGGACCTAAGGTTTTCCTCCCATCCAAATGACTATACGTTGACTCTCGCCAGGCCCTCAATCCTACGCCACTGACAAGTGGAAACCAGGCCGGATATTTGCGATATTGTCTTGGCCAACACCAGGATCGAAAAAGGAATGTCCAGGTTAGCGAACCAGCTTCTTACTCACTGAACCACTGAGGTTGTTGAGCTATCTATACTAACATTTGTGACTGTCATTTGTTTGTCTGTCTGTCTCTATGTTCGGGGTTGGCGGCTACAATAGGGCAGTCCAGAGGCTGGGGAGTAGTGTCGCCTGTCCATTCTCCGGGTCCTCTAGTTTCCTCCCACTGCGCGCAAGTGAATTATTGAAAAAAAGTTGAAACATGTGTTAGTCCCAAAATGACATAGTTATCTTGAACTGGTATTTTTATTTTTATTTTGTTTTCTTAATTAAATGTTAAATCATCAAGCTGAGTATGTATTAGCTTGGATTAAGCTGTGAGAATTTGGATATTTTAGCACAAAATACTAATGATGCATCGTTTGTTTAAACAATTAATCTTAGTACATTTTTGCAAAAAAATGCAAATGGCGTAAAAACTGTGATGTATTGGGTTTTTAGGTTAAATTTATTGAAATTTTTAATTTCTTGCCATGTAGATTGATTGACAGGCAAGTTTCACTGTCAATCAAATCGATAAATATGAGAGGGAGAGAAATGGGGTTTAACATCCACTCGACACAAACTAGGTCATTTTGGGGCTAACATATGGTTCAATTTTATTTCAATAATTCGCTTGCGCGTAGGGGTCTTTAGCAGTGGGAGGAAATTAGAGGACCCGGAGAAAACCCACGAGGTTGGACAGGCGACCCTACTCCTTGTCACGTACAACAGGGGAATCGAAACCACAACAGTTTTTGGCAGTGGGAAGAAAATGGAGGACCCAGAGAAAAACCATCAGGATGGACACGTGACCGTACTCCTTGTCACCTACAAGTGGGGAATTTAAACCACGCCACTAGACTCATTGAATGATCTTGTGATCTAACATGCATGCGTTACACTATTTGGTCACCCATGAGGTTAGATAGGTGACTGTACTCCTTGTCACCTACAAGTGGGGGAATTGAAACCACGCCACTAGACTCAATGACAGACCTTGTGATCTAACATGCATGCGTTACACTATTTGGCCACCCGCTCCTCCTTGATAAATCGTAGTGAACTGAAAGTTCATGTGTGAACCCAGTGTCTTATCCATGTCATATTTTACAAATCATGATGAACTTTGTACTCTGTGCGTCTTAAGTATCTTGACTTGCTTACACCTAAACACGAAAAATAAATAAATAATATCCTATCAAATATAACCTTTGTACTGTACGTGTTGTGTAATAGACCGGTATATATTACTTCCTGTTTCAACTACACCCTGAGTTACAGATAGACTCGGGTCTAGGCATTCATTCATTGATAGTAAGGCCAAATTAAACAAATAGCCTATTTCTCAATATAGGCCTACTCCTGCTTCACTTAAACATACATTATACAAGAGCTAATTCTGCCTGTTGCAGGTCTTTCTTTAGGCCTAAAATGTTATCTAAATTATTAATTACACATTAATTAACCTATCCAGACCATAATCAACTGTCGATGGCATCAGATTTCTCCAATATTAAATAGATTAGAACAGTTCAGCCATATTTTGATTTAAGCTAAAAATGGAGGAGCGAGACTTAGCTTCGAACAACCAGTGCGGTGGTTGAAATTATTGCACATATCCTGTCAAACCTTCAAAGGCCAATAGAGTAATTTGAATGAAATTTTCAAATTATTCATTTTACATTATCTATTTTCGAACTATGATAACAAGAATGGCTAGCTCTTTATCTAAATCTTACATAATGCATCTTTATAAAAACACCCCTACATACCCATTTTTATTTCAAAAAATAAAAAAGGTCTCATTTAATTACCGCACGTAAATGTTTTTCAAAGATTACATGAATCCGGAAATGTATTGTAGTCTCAATTATCAATGAAACCCTGATAATGTTATGACAATCATAAAAGATACTGGATAATCCTATAAACAACAATGTGGTAATTGTATTGTAGTCTCAATTATCAAATATTCAACCCTGATATATGTTATGACAATCATAAAAGATACTGGATAATCATACATTCCTATAAACAATTTGATAAATGTAGTGACTTGAAATCTGATGTTTATGAGACTTCATTTAGCCCAGTAGTGATACTTGGACAAAATAAAAACACAAATTCAAAAACCTCCGTCCCACATCAGACTTTTTCATAGAGATTGTCTGAGAAGCAGAATATATTTTATGCATGGCCTAACATATAGCTGTTTAAAAATGGGCTTTAACGTCCACTTGACATAAACTTTGGGACTGAATTATGGTACAATTTTATTTCAATAATTTGCCTGCAAGTAGGGGTCTTTGGCAGTGGGGGGAAACCAGAGGACCCAGAGTGAACCCATGTGGTTAGGAAGGTAACCAAGTGTGCAATCGAACTCATGCTACTTGACTCAGTGGCAGACCTTATAAACTAATGTGCATGCATTAGACCATTTACCCCCACCCTTCCCACCATTGCTAAGACAGATTCTGATTTCCAATTTCAATTGTCAAGGGTTTTTTTTACATGCATACCGACGTGTAAATTTTATGGCTTCAGATTTGAGGCGAGTCATCCATTGTATAAGGTGAACAGTTGATAGGTCAATAAACCAGTATAGTGAATAGATTAAGCGTAAATATGACGTCAGAAAGTTGTTTGTAAAATTTGTTAGAAACTGAACAATGTCAACCTGACTATAGTCACATATCTTGACGGCCTGACCCTTTATAGACCACCTATCCTACTGACATTTCGTATATAAACTTGTTACACTAAATACGCAACTCATAAGATAATATAAAACCGGTTACTATCAACTTAAGATAATTCATAACCTGTCAACATTAGATAATATAGCAGTTGAGATTCTAAAACTGTGTAAGTATATATAATAGCTGTTGTGTTTGTCTGGGGGTTGGATGGCTGAATGGTTAGCATGTGCGCACTGTATCATAAGGTCTGTCATTGAGTCAACTGGCTCGGTTTTGATTCCCCGGTTGTATGTGACAAGGAGTAGGGTCGCCTGTCTAACCTCAGGGGTTTTCTCCGGGTTCCTCTGGTTTCCTCCCACTGCTAAAGACCCCTAGGCACAAGCGAATTATTGAAATAAAAATGAACCATATGTTAGCCCCGAAATGACCTAGTTTGTGTCATCTATGTCATAATACCTTGATGTAGTAACAGGCTGTTGGGTGACCGAATGAGATACCGTAATACCTTTATATTGTTACAGAGGGGTGTTTGACCGAATGATCTAACATGTGTTTTTTTGACCATAAGGTCTGTCATTGTGTCAAGTGTGGTTTCGATTCTAGGCTTGTACTTGACAATCCAACCTTGTGGGTTTTCTCCGGGTCCTCCGGTTTCCTCCCACTGCTAAAGACCCCTAGGCACAAGCAAATTATTGAAATAAAAATGAACCATGTGTTAGTCCCGAAATGACCTAGTTTGTATTGAGGGGACGTTAAACCCCATTTCTGTTTTTCTCTTGTGTTAGTCTTGGAACTCCCGTGTAATAACTGGAGAGTTTTATCTGGAGACTATGATTTTTTTTCGCATTAGGGTTAAAAATCTGAGAACGTAGCAGTATAGCTGTAATTGTCTTGGAACTCTTAAAATGAAATGAAATGAAATGGGGTTTAACGTACTACTGTTCTGCTCCTATACTGGGCTAATGAAGACGGGCATACACCATACAGTGTGCTATGAGGGAAATTTTGCCCGGGCAGCGGCGCTACAGCCTACTCTTATATCGAATTCCAACTGCCAAGGGATCTTTTATGTGCATGCCAATGTGTACACGGGACCTCGGTTTTTCGTTCCATCCGAACGACTAGACAGCTGTCCTTGTCAGGCCCTCCATCCTGCATCACTGACAAGGGGAAACCACGCCGTAAAAATAGATATAAGAATAGATATGAGTCAAATTACTTTATTCTGAGCAAAGTTATCAATATTTGTAATTTTGACAAGATGTGTGCACTGATTGTTTATTATTGTGACCACGGTGCTGGGTTTTTTAGGCTTAGCCTCTCTTCTCCATTCTAATCTACAAACAATTGGAGCCATCCAATGGTATCGAGAGTTGATTAAGGTCTTTTCATGTTAATAAATGTCTAATTAATAATTTAGATAACACTTCAGGTCTACAGAAAGACCTGTAATAGGCAGATTTAGCTCTTGCATAATGTATCTTTAAATAAGAAGTGTAGATTTCAAATTCAAAGTTCCTTTAAATAAATTCAATGTTTATTGGGAGATAACATGAGTTCAAATTCCAATTTTATTTTTGCCTCAAGGTGTTATATAACTGACATATTTAAATCTGGGAAGCAATTTGGACATATTGATCATGTAACAGTATTTCTTGAATTTAACATAAATGGTTTATGTCCAAATTCATCATTTACCGTAAGGCGTAAGCTTATTTGATGGCATGAGGACTTTCCCCACTGGTGACGAAACACCAATTGTAGAAGCTTCTGATCACCCTTTGGCTTTTCATTTTTAACAGCTAAATCCATGTTAAAATGTACCAGTACTCAGTTTCATTATTTGACACTTAATAAGATCACCATTTAAAAAGGTTTCGATTTTAATGCAGCATGTTTTCATTGTTGGCAAGAAAAAGATGAGAGGATCGTTTGTATTTTCCTGGACAATTTTTCACGGCTTAATCCATGTTACACACATTTTTCATGTCGGCCATGTCAGTTTTTTAACTATGTGTTATCATTATTTGCTTGACATAGACGGGTAGCCGTCATTGAGTTGGTCACCATTTTTCGGATAATATCTCATTTTTAACGGCATAATCCACGCTAAAATGGGGCCACGGTGACTATATAACTAAGACGCTGGCTCGCTGGTCATGGAGATCGCGCGTTAGCCCCGGGTGTTGACCGAGAAAGTTTATCAGGATTTTCCACCTTAATTTCCCACTATCAGTTGCCAGCCCGGCAAGAACAGTATCTAGTTATTTGGAAATGAAATGAAATGAAATGGAGTTTAACGTCCTACTGTTCTGCTCCTATACTGGGCTAATGAAGACGGGCATAGGCCATACAGTTTGCTATGAGGGAAATTTTGCCCGAGCAGCGGCACTATCGCCTACTCTTATATCGAATTCCAACTGACAGGGGATCTTTTATGTGCATTCCAATATATACACGGGACCTCTGTTTTTCATCTCATCCGAAGGACTAGACAGCTGTCCTTGTCAGGCCCTTCATCCTGCATCACTGACAAGGGGGAACCACCTCCTGGCTAGCGAGCCAGCGTCTTACCCACTTAACCACGTGATCCCCCAGTTATTTGGATGGGATGATAAACTTAATACCTTTGTACACATTGGTGTGCACGTAAAAGAATCCCTGACTGCGATAAACCAGTGATAAAAAGTAGGACGTTAAACTTCATTTCATTCATTTGTGTGACATAAATCAGACAAACCACAATGAAACGTCAACATCAATTGAAGTCAGTTTCCTAAATAAAATTTTTTTCTTTTTTTATATAAAACTCTTTTTTTTTCTATTTTCAGGCAAAGATGTTTGCTTTCTTGACATATGCTGCAAATCTTGCACTAAAATATTTTTTTCTGGCCGTTTTGATTTTGGTGGCTTATTTCAAAAAGGTAAAGAATGCGATATTGACACCAATGGAGCCGATAGCGTCTGAAACAAGGAAAGTGCCAGAATCGGACATTTCTCTTCACGGAATTATTCGTCATGTGACGAGATTATTTTTATTACTTGGACTAATGTGGTGGTCTGTTGTATCGAGGATATTTGGAAATTTGTTCAGCCCCATCAACGGACATTTTGATAGATTTATGTCAACAGCCAAAAGTTACGCTCATTCTGAACCGGAGAAACAACCAGAAAAATCATTTTAAAAATAAAAACTGTTAAAAACTTACTGTATTTAAAGTTTATCAAATTAATATTTAACAATCATACCACACAACACAACAATTATACCACACAACACAACAATTGTACCACATAACACAACAATTATACCACACAACAATTATACTACACAACACAACAATTATACCACACAACACAACAATTATACAACACAACAATTATACTACACAACACAACAATTATACCACACAACACAACAATTATACCACTATACCACACAACACAACAATTATACCACATAACACAATAATTATACCACATAACACAACAATTATACCACACAACACAACAATTATACCAAACAACACAACAATTATACCAAACAATAATTCGGAAATGTTGATCGGAAACACCTAGGATTTCCGGTTCACATTTTGAAATTTTAAAATTTTAAACAAAAAACAAAATGTTTACAGAATCCAAGTGGATTTTTATTTATTACTACACTGAAGAACTAAAAAATATTTTGGTTGACCTTAAAGGAAATACAAGACACAGATTATTCCTTTGAAAATAAAAACATTTTTTGTATAACTGTTGTAAATTCATGGCATTTGGAGAATATCATTATGCTACATAAAAAATTATCAACAAATATTTTTGTTGAAGACTTTTAAAGGAAACGGAAGTTTATTGACCCTATTTCCTGATTACTGGTGGCTCAATTCCGAAAGGGGCGTGGTCAGTGGTGACAACTGGTTTTGCATGCGGAACAAAATCCTACGGGTCCATAAAAATCCAATATTAATAAAGAAGAAGGGGAGGTGTCTGGGGATTCTTTTGGGGAATTTGCGGGCTATATGGAATTATGCTAGAGTCGATTTGTAGCATATCTGTGCTACGGTAAGGGTTTTGACTTAAAGCTTGTCATGTACAAGTGGGGAGTCGAAACCACGCCAGTTGACTAAGGGGATGCTCGATTGTCAGTCCGGAACGTCCTGAATTAACAGAATCGCAATCAAGTGATACAGAATTCAGTCCTGTCACAGTTCTGCCAGTCCCAACAGCTGAGGTGGTGTGAGTAGAATCGTGACGTATTTTAAATAGCAAATATCTTTCAGCTGCCATGATTGGTTGAGATATTTTTTGTGCAGTCGGCACATGCGTTGTACTCCGAAATTCTCCTGTTCACTCGATTGACACTATTTTCGGAATTGAGAGAATTCAATTCCTGAACGTTCAATCGAGCATCCCCATTATGACAAACCTTATGACCTGAAGTGTATGCATTAAACCACTTGACTCACATCCCCAAGTAGCAATGTGAATATGGAATAATAAAATAGATATAATATATATATATATTTAATAGAACTCTTTGTGAAAACAATATTGTAGATATTTTCAGAGAGAGAGAAATAGGGTTTAATGTCCACTCAACACAAAAAAAACAGGTCATTTTGGGTTCAATTTTATTTCAATAATTCACTTGCTCGTAGTGATGTTTAGCTGTGGAAGTTAACCGTAGGACCCTGAGAAAACCCATAGTATAAGACAGAGAGAGAGAGAAATGGGGTTTAACGTCCACTCGACACAAACTAGGTCATTTCGGGACTAACATACAGTTTAATTTTATTTCAATAATTCGCTTAAACGTAGGGTCTTTAGCAGTGGGAGGAAACCGGAGGACCCGAAGAAAACCCACGAGGTTGGACAGGTGACCCTACTCCTTGTCATGTACACGATAGTATAAGTCAAATCAGTTAAACTTTTTTGACCTCGTTGGTTAACGGTTAGAGTTAATTACACATGGGTACATGTCGTCATTTTGCCAGGAAGATAACTCACGGCGATTTCAAGTCGACCAGTAAAAAAAAAAAAGCCAAGATAAGACAACTTTTAAGAAAGTTTTCTCGAGACAGGTACAGAGTTAGGGTTTTTATGCTGGTTTATTTGTCCCAACCTTTGGTTTAACGGTCACCAGTGATTTTAAAACTGTTAAACTTGTGCTTCTGAGATGACCAAAACTGGGGTCCGTATATGAAATGAAATGAAATGGGGTTTAACGTCCCACTGTTCTTCTCCAAGTGGGCTAATGAAGACGGATGTACGCCATACAGTGTGCTATGAGGGTAATTTTGTTTGGACATTGATGCTACGGCCTACTCTTATATCGCATTTTAACAGCCAAGGCATTTTCATGTGCAGGCCAATGTGTAGACGGGAGCTCAGTTTTTTGTCCCATCCAAAAGACTATACAGCTGTCCTTGTCAGGCCCTCCGCCCTGCACCACTTACCAGGGGAAACCACGCCGGAAAATCCAGATGAACTTTTACAGCCAACACCAAGATCAAGTCTGCGACCTCCAGGCTAGCGAGCCAGCATCTTACTCACTTAGCCACCGTGGCTTCCCTGGGTATAATAAATCTCTTAATAAAGGCTCATTACAAATATTTGACTGTAAATAGTGGGGGGGGGGAAGGAGAGAGAGAAATGGGTTTAATGTCAACTCCACACAAACTAGGTCATTTTGAGAGTAACATATGGTTCAATTTTATTTCAACAATTCGATTGTGCATAGGGGTCTTTAGCAGTGGGAGGAAACCGGAGGACCTGGAGAAATCCCACGAGGTTGGACAGGCGACCCTACTCCTTGTCACGTACAATTTGGAAATTATAGTGTACAGTCAATTAATCCCATAATACACTTAGTACCTAAATACATTAAAACCCTCTACAAGACAGTAGTGCGGCTCACTACCAGTGGCGGACTGGCCAGGTTGTCAGCTTGCCTAATGGCAAGTGGGTCCCTGAGGAAGTGGGCCCCCTTAGAGATTAGGAAATATACTTAAAATATAAATTATCAAAAAATATAAAGAAAACAAAATCGGGAAAATTCTAATAACATATTTTTGTTTCCATTTACATATTTTTGGAAAATTTAATTTATTCATTTGAAAAATTAAATCATAGAATTGTATTGGTGGGTGAGCCTCCTTTGTCTCCTAGCAACCAATATTTTCAGACCCAGTCCACCACTGCTTAATACATACAGTAAAATTATACATCCTGGCTGATCTATGATGGAAGAGAAATAGTATTAAGGTCCATTTAGTCATTTTGGGACTAACTTATGGTTCAATTTTATTTCAATAATTTGCTTAAGTGTACGGATGAAAACGTACAACCGGGGAATCGAGACCACGCCAGTTGACTCAATGACAGACTTTATGATCTCCAGCACCTGAAGGAGGATGGGCATTATGGTAAAAATAAATAAAATGTTACCTGTACTGGATGAATTAACGTCAGCAATAACAGCAATAGGTATCAACATACAACATAATACACCATTATCAGCCCCTACCCTGAAACATACAACATACACCATTATCAGCCCCTACCCTGAAACATACAACATAATACACCATTATCAGCCCCTACCCTGAAACAAAATGAAATTAAATGGGGTTTAACGTCCTAGTTTTCTGCACCTCTACCATCCTACCCTGAGAGAAATACACACATCTCTTATTCATACACCTGGACTAATTCACACACCTGGACTAACGCACACACCTGGACTAATTCATACACCTGGACTAATTCATCATACACCTGGACTAATTCATTATACACCTGGACTAATTCATCATACACCTGGACTAATTCACACACCTGGACTAATTCACACACCTGGACTAACTCACACACCTGGACTAATTCACACACCTGGACTAACTCACACACCTGGACTAATTCGTCATACACCTGGACTAATTCACACACCTGGACTAATTCTTTTTTTAAGCACATTAGAAAAGCTTACAGTGAAAAATATCAATGAATTTAAAAAATTAAATGGGGATTAATGGTCTTCTGTACTAGCCCAGCCAGATGATCATAGAGCCCAGCCAGAAGATCATAGAGCCCAGCCAGAAGATCATAGAACCCAGCCAGAAGATCATAGAGCCCAGCCAGAAGATCATAGAACCCAGCCAGATGATCATAGAACCCAGCCAGATGATCATAGAGCCCAGCCAGATCATAGAGCCCAGCCAGAAGATCATAGAGCCCAGCCAGAAGATCATAGAACCCAGCCAGATGATCATAGAACCCAGCCAGAAGATCATAGAACCCAGCCAGAAGATCATAGAACCCAGCCTGATGATCACAGAACCCAGCCAGATGATCACAGAGCCCAGCCAGATGATCATAGAACCCAGCCAGAAGATCATAGAGCCCAGCCAGAAGATCATAGAACCCAGCCAGATGATCATAGAACCCAGCCAGATGGTCATAGAACCCAGCCAGATGATCATAGAGCCCAGCCAGAAGATCATAGAGCCCAGCCAGAAGATCATAGAACCCAGCCTGATGATCACAGAACCCAGCCAGATGATCATAGACCCAGCCAGATGATCATAGAACCCAGCCTGATGATCATAGAACTGAGAAGCCCGAAAATATATTTTTCTTCTTTTGTCGACTATAGAATAATTCATCAATTTTAAAAAATCAATTTTTTTGTTCCATCTGAAGGACCAAATGCTCATTGCCAGGCCCTCTGTCCTGTACCACTGACACGGGGAAACGTCCATGACGGAAAATCCTAATGATCTTTCTCTGCCAACACCGATAGCCAACCCGAGACCGCTGTTAGCGAGCCAGCATTTTATTCACTGAGCCACCGCGGCAACCGCATAATAAAAAACAACACTACATTCCAGCAGTACTTTTACCATTAACACATATTGTGACATTTAAAAGGAAATGAAAATGAAATGAAATGAAATGAAATGAGGTTTAACGCCCTACTGTTTTGCTCCAAACTGGGCTACTGAAGACGGGCATACGCCATATACAGTGTGCTATGAGGGAAATTTTGCCTGGACAGCGGCACTACGGCCTACTCTTATCTCGAATTCCAACTGTCAAGGAATCTTTTACCTGCACGTCCCATTTAATGGGGTCTTATTGCGCAATAGGAAAGCCCGGAGATTGTTCATAACAATTTTCCTGAATATTTAGTCAGCTATTCATGAGAGAGATAAATCAGATTCAACGTCCACGCGACCAACACCGGGATCAAAAACACGACCTCCAGGCTAGCGAGCCAGCGTCTTACTCACTTAGCCACCGTTGCTTCCGAGGGTATATGAAATCTCTTTGTATAACATAAAGACTCATTACAAATATTTGACTGTAAATATAGTGGGGGAAAGGAGAGAGAGACAGAAATGGGTTTAATGTCATCTCAACACAAACTAGGTCATTTCAGGACTAACACATGGTTTAATTTTATTTCAATAATTTGCTTTTGCATAGGGGTCTTTAACAGTGGGAGGACCCGGAGAAACCCAAGAGGTTGTACAGACCTCCATACTCCTTGTCACATACAAGCAGGGAATCGGAACCACACCACTTGACTCAATGACAGACCTTATGATCCAACGCGCATGCGTTAACCATTTGGCCACCCAAACCCACCTAGTAGGCTATTTGATATAATCTGATAAAATAAACACCACACCAACCTGTAAATCGAGTTTTCTGTTGTTTTATAATTTAAATGATAAAATAGTAGAGTTGACAACTGACCAATCAAAAATCCTGTAACATCAAAACAAGATTATCAATAATCTTACAATAACAACTAAATTTATTCTATTTTAAAATCATTTAACCTGATGATGTCATGATTTAATGTGTATAAACTCTAAATAAGTATTCAAGGTATGGTATATTAGTTTTAGGATTGTGGTATATTAGTACTAGGAGTGTGGTATATTGGCATACAAGATGTGGTATATTAGTATATCAGGTATGGTTTATTAGTATTCAAGGTGTAGTATGTTAGGTGTGGTATATTAGTATTGAGGTCTGAATATTCAAGGTTTGGTATGTTAGTATTCAATTTGTGGTATATTAGTATACGAAGTGTGGTATATTAGTATACAAAGTGTAAGTGTGGTATATTAGTATATGAAGTGTGGTTTAATAGTATTTAATTTGTGGTATATTAGTAGACAAGGTGTGATATATTAGTAGACAAAGTGTGGCATATTAGTATATATGGTGAAGGTGTGATATTACCAGATGTGGTTCATGTATATTAGCATACAAAGAGTATCAGTACACAAGGTGTGGTATATCATATCTTGTGGTGTGGGTATATAAGTATACCAAGTGTGGTATATTGGTATTGTATATAAGTATAACAAGTGTGGTATATTGGTATTGTATATAATGTATTCAAGGTGTGGTATATTAGTAGTAATTTTATTACCTGTCAGGAGATAACTTTGGTTGGAGAAGATTTGACAGACAACAACAGATACAGAAAATATGAAAACACATCCTTCTAATCCCAACAGTATATTCTCTTGTTTTAAACCTGAACAAAAAAAAAGGATAAAACAAAATCATTAAAAACCCAACAATCCAGATTGTTTACAAGTATTTTAAATGTCAAATGAAAGAGAGAGACCGAAAAATGAAATTTTCACTTAACACTAGCTAGGCCATTTCGGGACTAACATATGGTACAGACCTTATGATCTAAAGTGCAAACAAGCTCTATGGTGTCCGAATAAAACCCTTACTTTAAATAGGGTAGCACGATTCTACAAAATTTCAGCTTATACAATTTATATTTATACTTGACACTATGCCAAATTGTCATTTTTAATTTAAAATCTAGTGGTATTATTTTAAAAATTCCCATAAGAATGCAATTTCCAAGCCAGTGATTTCGGGTATTTTACGAGTCATATGACATATAACTTAGGTCCCTTGATTACAACTTCCAAACTTGCTTGAAAACTGCATTTTGCAAGATATTTTGGAGACAGAAAACATAAGATTTTTCAATCAACAATTATGGTGCTTTTGAGTAGATTCGGGTAAATCATGCAACCTGTTAAATGTGTTAAATGTAAAAGCTCTGCTAGAATGTAGTATGTTTTTTTATTATACGGTCGCAGTAGTGATGAGGTGAACTTAGTATCGAGTGTGCGGAAGATATCTGTCAGCATGTGAGTGGTAGATATACAATAAAATACATGTAGTATGTAGCATCATTATCTATTGACTTGTTCCAAGCAAGGCCCTCGTCAAAGTGATCCGTAGCCAGACAATTAACAAAATGAAATGAAATGAAATGGGGTTTAACATCCTACTACGGCCTACTCTTATATCGAATTCCAACTGCCAAGGGATCTTTTGCGTGCATTCCAATGTATACACGGGACCTCGGTTTTTCATCCCATCCAAACGACTAGACAGCTGTCCTTGACAGGCCCTCTGCCCTGCATGATTGAGAAGGGGAACTATGCTGGAAAATCTAGATGAACTTTCTCGGCCAATGCAGGGGTCGAACACCCGACCTCCTGGCTAGCGAGCCAGCGTCTTATTCGCTTAGCCACCGTGACCTCCCAGCTAAGTAACAGAAAAGTCCAGAATGATTATGTAAGAATTATTCAACTATTGACAGCTGTATAATTTTTTCAAAAATCATGTTACCAAACATTATTTTAAGTAATTGAATAACATTAGCGGATTTTACAATGGTTAAAAGCAGAATTTTCAAGTCACGGTTAAAAGGCTTGTTTACCTTTCATGGGCGCTGACATCTTGGAAATTGATGTGAAACTGTAAAATTAGTTTCGTACTTTAATAATTTTTCGATGAATTCCTTCATTTGTGAGTACTATTTCAGAAATCTATTAACCACATGAAGATGCTAGTATTTAGAGAAGTATTTGAAGTCTTAGTTATAAGAAAATAAATAGTTTTAAAATTTTGCGACTTTACATTTTAGTTTGGTATTTCAGGGGAGATAAATTTGTAATTACCCTTGGACAGAAAAAATAATGATTGTCAGCAATATAATTTAGTCAAAGTATTGGCGATATGTGAGGAGAGAAAATTCTTACTCTTAGTAGGTTATTGTTATCAATAAATAAAGATATCAATCAGATAATTCATGTTGAGGATACTTATATGTAGGCCTAGAGTTTAGGCCATTTTGATAATTTCTAATTTTTATTAATAGATCAGACTTAATATATTATTCCAATCAAATCCAACAAAAAATATCAATGTTTTTAGCAAAAATGTGCAAAGTTTATTGAGATTTGATGTAGTTAATTAATATTTATATCTTTCAAACCTCCATTTTATTGACATTCTAAAAATACCAAATATGTCTTTATAAAGAAATGAATTGGGGTTTAATGTCCTACTTTTCTGCGGCATCATGATTTACCCATAATATATCCAGCCAAATCTACCCAGATCCACCATTATGGGATTTGTCTACATTTGGGTGGATTTGATAAATCGTACTACTCCACCAACTGAGTTAATGAAGACCTTACGCCCAGACAGCAGCCCTACAGTCTACTCTTAAATATCAAATTCCAGCTGTCAAGGGCTCTTTTATGTGCACCTGACATACCTCGGTTTTTCATACCATCCGAACTTGTAGACACTATAATTGGCAGTCCCTCCATCCTACACCGCTGACAAGGGAAAACCAAGCTGTAAGATCATTAAGCTATGGCGACTATCATGGTACATGTACATGTAGCTTAAATATTGTCTTGAAGTGATTCAACGATTTGTAACCTTGATGATTTGTACCATTGATGTTTTGCTTACAAATATTTCAACCCACCTTTATCAACATAGAAACAATTATATCTACCGCATCTAGGTCTCCTTTAAATCCTCAATCATTTTTAATAAATTGATAGTTTTAAAATGGTTTATTATTGCTCTTGTAGATTACGCCGATTACAGGATGCCGCCAAGTTCCAAAGGAAAGAAAAAAGAGATCAAGAAAACCTCTCCAATTAAAACTAAACATGCCCATACTTTAATGTCTTTATTTGCTAAGCAGAAATTATTAAACAGTGCCAAAGCGAAATTAGCATTTGTTGACAGCGATGATGATGATTTTGTTGAAATTACAAAAGTTGAATCAAAATCAAAGTTTTTTCAGAAAAATGAAAAATCTGAAGAAAATCGTTTGGATGATAGATGTTCCGAACCTGAAAATAAATCAAAGAGTCGGCGATTGAGCTTAAGAAAATTGTCGTCAAAAATACACGAGAAAACTGAAGGTGAATTATCTTCTTCTTCCACGTTAAATAATAGCCAAGTTATAGTTTTAACCGATTCTCCATTAAAAGACAGCAACAAAAACAAGCGAAAATTAAATGCTAAAACTTCAATAGACTGTGAAAGCGATAATTCTTCAAAACGGGTAAATAAATCAAGGAAATTAATCGATACGTTAGAAAGCGGCAACACCAATATCACAGAAAATTTAAAAACAAAAAATTTTAGATATAAAAGTGATTTAAAATCTAACAATAGTTTACCAATTGTCGAAAATAATGATATTGTTACTAGTTTAGTAGATGAATCACCACGACAAAAAGTTAAGAAAAATTCAAAAACAGAATTTCAGAAACCTGCCGCAGAATTAGATAAAAAGAAATCAAATTCTAAGGAATCTAAACTCTTTGATTCAACCAAAATAAATTATTCTACGAAGGAAGAACCTTTCAAATCAAAAGTAGACAAAGATGAGTCGAATTCCGTATCGTCTGAACTCACTACATGTAAATTATCCAAAATAAATTCTGTTCCAAAGAAACAAAGTTTAAAATCTACAGTTGGAATTATTGACGGTGGAACGTGTCCAAATAAACGACTCTATGATAAAACAGACCAGTTATCCGGAGCGGAAAATCCAGAAGATGACGGAAAAAAATCAACTGAAAATAAAAAAAGAAATTCTGACGGCAAAAGAAATAAAAAATCAAGGGAAGATAATCCTGACACTGGGAATGTTAAAGGAAAAGAATCAGACGGTGAAGACGATGGATCACCAGAAGAAGACACAGAAGAAACTGAATACAAGATACCATATTATTTAGAAAACTTTCAGACGATTCTAAAATCTGTTTTGGAAGATGAGAGTTATCTTAAACTTTTTAACGAAAAAGATCTGAAAATCATCGAATTGTTTAATAATTTATCAGGTAAAAATTTTATGAACAAACTTAATTCAGGAAACGTATCAAAATTCCGACACTTGCATTTATCAGGTAAACATTTTATGAACAAACTTAATTCAGGAAACGTATCAAAATTCCGACACTTGCATCCAAATGAATACCAGAGGATAGATCTCAGCCCTCATACCCACCAGCCCATCTGTGCTGACGGAGCAAAATAATGTTGATGCAGATGGTCTTTGCAAGTTTAAGACTAACTACTGGGTAACCGACATTTGATTGATCATGTCTGTCCACGATGGCGTTCAACCCACCCACTCAGTTCCTCGGGTTATTCCCTTGGACGCAAAGTGTTGAAATTTTGCAGCAGTCCCTTGATACATGAATGGCTGTACTTTATTGTTAACCTTGAACCATAAATTAGATGTACACAGAGTGACAGTTCTGATGAAAAAGACTTGAAAGTCTATGTCGAAATGTTGCTCCGTAATAAACAATACATCATTGCTTGATGCATCCAGGGTATCTACAGTGGTCTCACTCCACTATACCCAGGGTTCATCCATGGGGGTAGACACATATTCAACTTATCTGCCCTTGATCATAGCTAAATTCTACGAACCAATCAAAAAATAGTTTACAAACCAGTCTTAGCCTCATTACCGACGTTTACAACAATATGGCAGCTTGTTTGTTGCAACAAGATGAGAGTTACTTCCCTTTGCCAATTTCCTTTGTATTTAACAATTTTTTTGATTGATCGATGAAAATAGTACAGTCATCAAGGGGCAAGGGCAGATAATTTGAATACATGTCTCCCCCATGGATGAACCCAGGGGTTAGTGGAGTGGAACAGAATGAGACCACTGGATAAATAATAATAATAATAATAATGGATTTCTATAGCGCCTCGTATCCAAAAGTTTGCTCACTGGCGCTGAGTTAGTCTGTCACATTTACTACAGCTTCCCACATTTACTACAGCTTCCCATCATCTGCACTGAATAGGTATGCTTTGAGCATTGATTTGAATGTACACAATGATTTCGCATCCTTAATATGTGATGGTAGCCTGTTCCACAGTTTAGGAGCAGCAACAGAAAAGCTTCTGTCTCCACATTTTACATAATTTGATCTCGGAATTTGATACCGAGGATGTACTTGATAAAAGACTAGAGAAGCCTAGTTGACACATAGCTCAGTAAAAAACAGTAATAGTTTTCTGTGGAATTGTCACCTGTCTTTTTGCTAAAGACTACAGAAGCCTAGTTGAAACATTGCTCAGTAACAAGCAGTAATTGTATTCCATAGAATTGTCACCTGTATAATATTCTATTTCAATTATTAAATACCATTGGAACAAATTGAAAGAGAAATGGGGTTTAACGTCCACTTGACACAAACTAGGTCATTTAGGGACTAACATGGTTCAATTTTATTTCAATAACTTTTGATCAGAGACCACGTTTAATTATAATTTTATTTATTAATTTCAGAAGAAGGTCAGAAATTGTTTGTGCGGTTATTTTCTAGGAAGTTACAGTGGATTGTTTGTGAGAAGTTAAAATATCCTAAAATAGCTGAAGATTTGACGGATGTCATACAAGAACTTGTTAATGTTGGTTTTCTTTCTTCAGGTAATGAGAGAGAGAGAGAAATGGGTTTTAAGTCCACTCGACACAAACTAGGTCATCTCGGGACTAGCATATGGATTAATTTTATTTCAATAATTCGCTTGCGCGAAGTGGTCTTTAGCGGTGGGAGGAAACCGGAAGACCCGGAAAAACCCACAAGGTTGGACAGACGACCCTACTCCTTGTCACGTACAACCGGGGAATCGAGACCATGCCAGTTGACTAAATGACAGACTTTATGGTACAGCGCGCACATACTAACCATTCGGTCATCTCCAACCCGCCCTTCAGGTAATGAGTCCTTACACTAACAACATTTGACATATCATCTATACTAATATCTGTGGGGGGGGGGGATGGCCGAATGGTTAGCACGTACGCGCTGTATCATAAAGCCTGTCATTGAGTCAATTGGCATGGTTTTGAATCCCCGGTTGTACGTGACAAGGAGTAGGATCGCCTGTCTAACTTTGTGGGTTTTCTCCGGGTCCTCCGGTTTCCACCTACTGCTAAAGACCCCTACCCGCAAGCGAATTATATTGAAATAGAATTAAACCATATGTTATTCCCGAAATGACCTAGTTTGTGTCGAATGGACATTAAACCCCATTTCTCTCTCTCTCTCTCTAATATCTGTGACTGTTGTTGGCCTACTGCTTCCAGTTTCGCAGTTATAGGCAAACCCTGTACAGTGTCGGATCATCTGCTAGTATAGGATATTTTGATTCAGGGGTGGCTGACCGTTTACGTTTCATGAGTCAAGAATTATCTGTACATCATCTCTCCTATTAGAGAGAGCGAAATGTGGTTTAAATTGAACTCGACACAAGGCAGGTCATGTTGGGACTAACATATGGTTCAATTGTGTTTCAATAATTTGCTTGTGCTTTGGGGTCTTTAACAGTGGGAGGAAACTGGAGGACCCATAAAAAACCATGAGGTTGTCACGTAAAAGCCAGAAATCAAAACCTTGCCAGTTGACTCAATGGCAGGACAGACCTCATGATCTAAAGCATTGGACGATTCTGCCATCCAACCCCCTCTCCTATTAGAACCCGCTAAACCTTTGTGACTGAACAGTTAATACACTGAAAAACTATTATTGGCACACTGTTTCTTTTATTCATTATTATTCATTCAATTCATTATTATCTTGGAATGGTACAATGTGCTACTTGGAATGGTGCAATGTGCTACTTGGAATGGTGCAATGTGCTACTTGGAATGGTACAATGTGCTACTTGGAATGGTACAATGTGCTACTTGGAATGGTACAATGTGCTACTTGGAATGGCACAATGTGCTACTTGGAATGGTACAATGTGCTACTTAGAATGATCTAATGTGCTACTTAGAATGATGCAATGTTCTACTTGGAATGATGCAATGTGCTACTTATAATGTGCCAGAGATTAGTCAATCTGATTAAAACACAGATCTTATTTCGTTTCGTTTTTTATAGTTCAAAATTTCATTTTACTTGTCTTTACTACACTGGGATCTGGAAGAATTGTTTATATATTACCGGCGTTTTGGTTGACGTGGGAGATTAGCCAATGAAACGGTCTGTTACGGCGAGTTCTTGGTATTTTGATGCACGAAACTGTTGGTAAACCACTAGAAACGTCAGCGCTGATTGATTAATCAGGGTCATAGGGTCAAAAGCCACTTGTTTGAACTCACACTTTAACTTGTCATATCTTCATGTAGTGTAGGCCATTGAAAGTACTCTGTATAAAAAACGAAACAAAATATAGATCTGTATGTTAATCAGATTGGAGATTGGTTAACATAGCAACCATAGATATAGCTTAAAGCATCAAGATCAACCAAGTTAATGTTTGATGATAGCAGAAATAGAATTGTATTTTCTTTCAGAGTCCGATTTGAACGATCTTGAAGAAACTTTGAAGACTTTAGCTGCTCCTGATTTGAAAACCTTGGCGAAGTCTTATCATGTTTCAACCGCTGGTCTACAGAAGCCAGACATTATTGATATTTTACTGAAAAAAACGAAGCAGAACACCATTACATCCTTATTTGGTGGTAAAGGGGGGATAACTCAAGCAATGCTTAACAAGTAAGTTCATATATTCTTGACGAGCTTGTCTCTTTCACTAAATGATGCATTATGTTCTTTTTTCTCACTGGAAAATTTCTGATTGTCATTTACATTAGTTTTGGATAACATCTATTTTTTCATGGCTTAATCCACACAAAATTATTTATTAAACACTTGATTAAACATCCATTAGAGAGGTTCCGCAACCAGTACGAACTACGAACTACGAAGTTTTTTTGTGCTGACGTCATCACTTCGTGTGTTCTCATTGACATAAGCGACCTTCGGTTCGTTATTTTTCTACGAAGATTTCTGGAAAAGTTCGGGGTTAAAAAACAAGGTACGAAATCGTGATTTTCTCACTGATTTGTGGATGAAATTCGTTTTTTTTACGGTATTATAGAAAGCCTGAACATTTACAGTTCAGTATATGGTTGATAAGCGTCAAAGTGATCGGCAATTGTTTTGATTTTGGACAAATTTTCGGGCTGTGAAATTTTTTTTTTTTTTTGACACTCGGCCACAAGGACGAATCATCTCGAATTTGATAAGAACACATTGCAATGGACTTTTTGGAGACTAAAATTTAAATTAATTTGATATTTTTTTATGAAGTACGAAGCCCTGTTCGTAGTTCGTACTGGTTGCGGAACCTGTCAAAAGCGAAGTATGAAGCCGTGTTCGTACTTCGTACGTCGTAGTTCGTACTTCGTACTGGTTGCGGAACCTCTCTATTATGTAAGAGCTAAATCTGTCTATTGTAGGTCTTTCTTTAGGCCTCAAATGTTATATAAATTATTAATTAGACATTAAGTAACTTATCCAGATCATAATCAACTCTCGATGCCATCGGATGCCTTCGATTTTAAGTATATTAGAACGGTTTGCCCATCTAATGATTTAATTTAATAATGGTGAAGAGAGGCTATTCTTCGAACAACCAGTATGGTTGTTACAATCAGTGCACACATCTTGTCAAACCTTCAAAGGCGAATATCTTTGCTCAGAATAAAGTAATTTGAATGAATTTTCAATATATTCATTTAATATTATCTATTTTTGAACTATTATAGCAAGAACGACCAGCTCTTTATCTAAATCTTACACAATTTATCTGAGAATGCTTTGTGATACGGGGACTAGGAAATTCTAGGGAACTTTCTCAGTCAACACTGGGATGAAATCTGGTTATTGAGTCAGCATCATACCCACCAAGCTCTTCAATTCAAAATAAGTGTTTAATATAGGATTAATTAAATATATTTGTACAGCTGAGAAACTTTCTTGACCAACACATGGATCAAACCTTAGGCTTCACCAAGACAACGTGGGTTTCCTCTTCGTAATAAATGTTTGATGTAGAATGTATAAGTGTTTAATATAAAATGTATAGGTGTTTAATATGGAATGTATGATATATATTTGTAGGGCTAAGAAACATGCTGGTCGATGTATAAAACTACGAGGTGAAGAAAGGGGCGTGTTTGTTCGTGTTCTTCTGTTGTTCTCTACCACAACGTTCTCACTAGATGAAGAGGGTACGATCTCAGGACAAAATCAATTGTATGTTATTTATAAATAATTCTCATCTGAGGGGATAGTGGCAAATGAAATGGGTATATAATTATATCCTACATGTCTACATCAACCTGGAAAATTTAAAATGACCATTCTCGGTATCACCAGTGGTATTGTTCCGTTCTACTTCACTAACCTCTGGGTCCATCTTCGGAGGAGTCACATAGTCAAATTATTTACCCTTGATCGTAGCTTTATTCTACAAAATTAAACCAATCAAGAACAGTTTACATACCAGTCTTAGCTTCACTGTTTACGATCACCACAATAATCTTAGTTACAATAAAATGTGAGTTACTTCCCTTGGCCCACTCGATTGATCGATGAAAATAGCAGCAGTGTCCAGGGCAGATGATTAGACTTGAATTTGGGGAAACCCTGTCGATGGACCCAGGGGTTAGTGATGTGGAACGGAACGATACCACTGGTGATACGGATTAGTTCATAGAATCAAGCTATGGTCAAGGGCAGATAATTTGAATTCATGAAAACCCTGTAGATGGAAATGAAATGAAATGAAATGGGGTTTAACGTCCTACTGTTCTGCTCCTATGCTGGGCTAATGAAGACGGGCATACGCCATACAGTGTGCTATGAGGGAAATTTTGCCCGGGCAGCGGCGTTACGGCCTACTCTTATATCGAATTCCAACTGCCAAGGGATCTTTTACGTGCACGCCAATATGTACACGGGACCTCGGTTTTTCGTCCCATCCGAACGACTAGACAGCTGTCCTTGTCAGGCCCTCCGTCCTGCATCACTGACAAGGGGGAACCACGCCGGAAAATCTGGATGAACTTTCTCGGCCAATGCAGGGATCGAACACCCGATCTCCAGGCTAGCGAGCCAGCGTCTTACCCACTTAGCCACGTGATCCCCCCTTGTAGATGGACCAAGAGGTTAGGGGATACCGAGAATGAAAAAGGACATACACCTGCAGTGTGCTATGAGGGACATTTTGCTCTGATGGCATTTTCTTGTTCGATTACAAACTGTCAAGGGATCTTTAATGTTCTGTCAGTGGTCTACTCACGATCTTAAACCCCGTTTACATTACAAATTGTAAGCGTGCTAGGAACAGTACCAGGCACGGTTAATTTTTTTGTAGTGTAAACGGGTCAAACATAAGCGTGTCGTACTGAGTACCGTGCCAATCTGGCCCACTGAAGTGAGGTAGTCTCAGCACGGTACCAGGCATTGCATGGTTAAATTTTCGTAGTGTAAACGCTATCTGGTCTGAGCAAGGTGTCACTAGGCATGCGCGAAACAAACCTTGACATTTTTTCCCCCCCCGCAAATTTTGACAGTTCTGTCATCAGTTCTGTCAAAATGGCTGCTCAAACTAAACCAACCCTCATAATTGTTTTCAATTTGCATAGGGACTGAAATTAACTTTTCTGTGAAGAGTTCCACATTTGGGTGCTGTAAACGGGTCAATTTCTTGAAATTTATCGTGAATTGCGGCCAAGTGTAAACAGGGCTTATATTTTATGTAATTGTTGTAATTACTGGCAAATCACGAGGAACCTTCTCGGTCAAGGATCCAACCGCATGGGTTTTCTCCGGGTCCTCTGGTTTCCTCCCACTGGCAAAAGACCCTTACGCGCAAGCGAATTATTGAAATAAAATTAAACTATATGTTAGTTCGGAAATGACCTAGTTTGTGAGTGGACTTAAACCTCATTTCTCTCTCTCTCTCTCTTTCTCTCTCTCTCTCTCTCTCTCTCTCTCAATTCTGTCTATGAAGTAATGTACCCTTCTGGTTGAAATTATGTGTGATAAGAATGATATTTTTCATGTCTATATATGTTGATAAAGATTTAGATTTATTTATTTCAGGTTTCAGATGTTGATGGTGAATATTGGTCGTGTTGTTTATCCAACTTATTCTATAAATAAACAAACACATATATACACAGATAGAGATAGTGTTTTATTGTAAGTATGTTCTATCATATACACAGATAGAGATAGTGTTTTATTGTAAGTATGTTCTATCATATACACAGATAGAGACAGTGTCTTATTGTAAGTATGTTCTATCATATACACAGATAGAGACAGTGTCTTATTGTAAGTATGTTCTATCATATACACAGATAGAGACAGTGTCTTATTGTAAGTATGTTCTATCATATACACAGATAGAGACAGTGTCTTATTGTAAGTATGTCCTATCATATACACAGATAGAGACAGTGTTTTATTGTAAGTATGTCCTATCATATACACAGATAGAGACAGTGTCTTATTGTAAGTATGTTCTATAAATAGACATATATACACAGATAGACACTATGTTTTATTGTATGTTCTATCAGTATCATATACACAGATAGACACAGTGTTTTATTGTAAGTATATTTTATAAATAGACATATACACGCTGAAATTATTCTATAAATAACCATATCTACATAGATACAGTGTTTTATTGTTAGTATGTGGCTAAGTGAATGAGATGTTGGCTCGCTGAGCTGGCGGCCCCGTGTTCGATCCCAGCATTGGCTGAGAAAGTACAATATCAGGATTTCTGCCGTGATTCCTCATTGTCAGTGGTGCAGGAACAAGGAACTGGCAAGAGACAACGTATAGTCATTTGGATGGGACGAAAAACCAAGGTACCGTGTACACATTGGCTTGCACGTAAAAGATCCCGCTGTCTGGGCAAAATTTCCTTCATGGCACACTGTATGGCATATGTCAGTCTTGGAGCAAAACAGTAGGACGTTAAACCCCATTTCATTTCATTTAATTTTATTAAAATATATATATAATTTATATCATTGATATGAGAAGGACACTGTTTATTAAATATATATAATTTTTATTGTAGATATGAGAAGGCATTACAACTAGAAGCTGATTTTATTTCATGTATTGAGAGATCCAAATGGGAAGAGGCTTATCAATTATACCTGGTTGTTAAACGAGAATATCATGATTTACCTGTGGAAAACATCAGGTGAGTTTATATATCGAAGGTGGGTAAGACGCTGGCTCGCTAGCCTGGAGTTCGGGTGTTCAATCCATGCATTGGCCGAGAAAGTTCATCCAGATTTTCTGGGGTGGTTCCCCTTGTCAGTAATGAAGGACAGAGGACCTGACAAGAACAGCTTTCTAGTCATTCGGATGGGATGAAAAACCAATGTCCCGTGTACATATTGGCATACACGTAAAAGATCCATTGACAGTTGGAATTCGACATAAGAGTAGGTTGTAGTGCCGCTGTCCGGGCCAAATTTCCCTCATAGCATACTGTATGGCGTATGCCCGTCTTCATTAGCCCAGTTCGGAGCAGAACAGTGGGACGTTAAACCCTATTTTATTTCATTTCATTTCACTTATAAACTAACAATATGGGTTGCTTTTCCAATTTGTGACATTTGTTTTTACAGGTATGATGCGAAGCTGCCAGACTTTTTACGTCGTTATACTACGGGTCATTTATACGTTAGGATGCTAAGTCAGGGTATAGAAATCTTTCAACGTCGTAAAGATTACCACAGAGCCAATGATCTGATTCGATTATTACTAAAACAAGATGTCTACTGTTTTGATTACCATGGTTACTGGTGGGAACGACTGGCGTTGAATTTAGACGCTCATTTGAAAAATCCTTTTGTGGTAATTACAACGATTTTCAAATACTCTGAGAATAGATGTACAGTATTATGTATTATATTATATGTTTTACAGGTGCTCTGAGAATAGGTAAACGGTATATTACACTTGTGCTGTATGTTTTGTCTTTCTGTATTGTTTGTACCATCTCTCTGAAATGACCTGGGGGGGTTGGATGGCTGAATGGTTAGCGTGCGCGCGCTGTATCATAAAGTCTGTCATTGAGTCGACTGGCGTGGTTTCGAATCCCCGGTTGTACGTGACAAGGAGTAGGGTCGCCTGTCCAACCTCGTGGGTTTTCTCCGGGTCCTCCGGTTTCCTCCCACTGCTAAAGACCCCTATGTGCAAGCGAATTATTGAAATAAAATTAAACCATATGTTGGTCCCGAAATGACCTAGTTGTGTCGAGTGGACGTTAAACCCCATTTCTCTCTCTCTCTCTCTCTGAAATGACCTAATTTACCTCCAGTCGCCATTAAGCACATTTCTCTCCCTCTCTTGTAAAGTTTGTTCCACCTCTCTTTATTTGTACAGTTTTATTTGTCTCGACATTCAGACTATCCTGATTTGTGTAAAGCGGTGGACACACTAGCTGTATTATTCGGCTGAAAAATTCAACCGCCGAATCAATTGCGCAGAATTCCAGCCAAATCCGATCGCTGAATTAGTGGAAAAAATAGGCGAATTCACGTACAATTCACCAGTCGATTACATTAACTGTCACGTCATATGATTAAACGTGACAGTGAACATGTCTTCAAACAATCATGTGACTTCTCGAGTGGTGATTGGCTAATAATGAAACTAAAAATAGGTCGAAGGCTGGTGGATCAGTGGCCATCTTCATTAGCACAGTCGGTGCAGAAAAATACCAAATTTTATTTTACTTAAAGATACATTATGGGAGATTTTAATAGAGAGTTGGCCATTCTTGCTATAACAATTCAAAAATAGATGATAAAAGAAGAATATATTGAAAATTTCAGTCAAATTACTTTATTCTGAACAAAGTTATCACTATTGTAATTTTTGACTAGAAATAGGAGTCAACTCCCTCTTCACTGTCTCCGAGAATGGCCGATCGTTTGATGGACAGACATTAACTCCACCTACATAATCTTGATTATCAAGTAACGTTTTCAATGGCTGTGGTTTGAGACGGGGTTGCAATTCAATTTGTATCACATTTATTTTTACTACAAATTGAAAATAAGACTTTTAATATATAGATAAGAAGTGAAAGTTTTAAAGGAATGGACCAAATCAATGAGGCATAATTATAGCTGACTTCTTATCTTTAAAAATTTAATCAATCAACGAAATCCTGTTTAAATCCAAACCATCCGTGGATCTACAGAGTTGATTTTGTGCTTGTTGTGTAAATAAAGATCTAATTTATAATTTCCATGACATCTGAAGCCTAAATAAAGACTTGCAATAATCAGATTTAGCTCTTGCATAATGTATGTTTAAGTGTAAGCATTTCTCACTTAACATTTTTAAAATTATTTACTTTCTTTTCCTCCAGGCTTTAGAGACAGTGAAGGAAGGTTTAGATGATGAAAATGTACGAGTGGGACATCGCCTAGCATTATATCAGAGAGCGGAAAAAATCTGCCAAATAGCATGTCTTGAACTCAAATATAAATTAACAGACTTTTATCATGATGAAGTTATAGAGGCCCCCAAGGTACAAGTCTTATTTCTCTTAAATATTCTGGGAGCAGCGGTGACTCAGTAATTAAGACATAGGTTTGCTAACCAGGAGGTTTCATGTTTGGGGGAATCTCGTGGCTAAGTGGGTAAGACGCTGGCTCGCTAGTCTGGAGGTCGGATGTTCGATCCCTGCATTGGCTGAGAAAGTTCATCCAGATTTTCCGGCGTGGTTCTCCCTTGTCAGTGATGCAGGACGGAGGGGCTGACAAGGAAAGCTGTCTAGTCGTTCGGATGGGACGAAAAACCGAGGTCCCGTGTACACATTGGCGTGCACGTAAAAGATCCCTTGGCAGTTGGAATTCGATATAAGAGTAGGCCGTAGTGCCGCTGTCCGGGCAAAATTTCCCTCATAGCACACTGTATGGCGTATGCCCGTCTTCATTAGCCCAGGTTAGGAGCAGAAAAGTAGGACCTTAAACTCCATTTCACTTCATTTCATTTCGTTCCATGTTTGATCCTGGTGCTGGCCGAGAAAGTTCATTGGAATTTTCCGGTTTTGTTCCCCCCTTGTCAGTTATGCAGGACGGCCTGGCAAGGGTCAATGTATAGCCATTCGCAAGGGACGAATTACCGAGGTCCTGTGTACATATTGGCGTGCACATAAAAAACCCTGTGACAACTGTAATTCGATATTAGAGTAGGCCATAGTGAAACTGTCCGGGCAAAATTTCACCCATGGCACACTGTATGGCCTATACCAGTCTTTATTAGCCAAAGGTTCTGTATATGTTGGCTTGAATGTAAAAGATCCCTCAACAGTTGGAATAAGAGTAGACTGTAGTGCTGCTGTTCGGGCAAGATTCTCCCATAGGACACTGTATGGCGTAGTTCCACATCATTACCCAGTTGGTGCAGAAATTCGGACATTTACACCATTTCATTTCTTAACCCCTTAACTGCGTAGTTTTTAAAACGTTAACTACCCCCTATTGTGTAATTAATTTGACGAAAAACGTCATTTTTGGACCTGAAACCATATTAAAACTAACGGTAAATAGAGTTGTCTCCCTTCAATTATATTTCCTCGACCAGGCGTAATATAACGTCCTACACATGCTGCGATTGTGTTCGAAGAATAGGTTGGGGAAAATACCTCCAGGGCATTATAATATGTCCTACACACAGTGAGTGGCAGTTGTCCAGGATGTTATATAACGCCCTACGCAGTTAACGGGTTAAAGATTATCTGTTCATGAATTTATTTGCTTCAGTCACAAACCTAAACTAGAACTCCTACGGAGTACTGACATGTTTCGGGGGGTTGGATGGCTGAATGGTTAGCACGTGCGCGCTGTATCATAAAGTCTGTCATTAAGTCAACGGGCGTGGTTTCGATTCCCTGGTTGTACGTGACAAGAAGTAGGGTCGCCTGTCCAACCTCGTGGGTTTTCTCCAGGTCCTCTGGTTTCCTCCCACTGCTAAAGACCCCTACGTGCAAGCAAATTATGGAAATAAAATTGAACCATATGTTAGTCCCGAAATGACCTTTTTTTGTCGAGTGGACGTTAAACCCGTTTCTCTCTCTCTCTCTGACATGTTTCGGTATGTCACGTCACATCATGTCACACTTTGTCAAGTCAACAATCAAGTTACACCATGTATTATAGAGTATAGTAAGATCCAATACCTATTAAAGTGGAAAAACCCATCATTCTTAATAAAACCAGAAGTTATACTTCATGACCAAACTTTTTTATATTAACTGTTAGTTGACATCAGGGTCAGCATAAATACAAAGGTCAAGGGTCATGGAAAGATTAGGTCACTATCTAGATGGTGAAAAGTCAAACAAACTTCAAATTGAAACTGGAAGTAAACAAAATCAAAATTCAAAAATCGGCTCCCTAAAGATTGTTGCCATTTGGAATAGGTTCAATACAAAACAAAGTTTTTGGATTTTGGAAATCAGAATTAAAATGGCAGCTGAATATCGATTTGTATGTTTTTTTGTAAAATCCAATATGGCGGCCAAGCGGTTGAAAATGAAAGATAATATCTGGGGCTAACACCACCACATGTCATTTTTTGTCTATTGTTTAAATGGAGAGAACTATTGATGGTGGGGAAAATCGGAAGGCCTTGGTAAATTAATTTAATATGCCATTTTGAAGGCATCGATGTGTTCCTTATTCCTACTAAGTTTTAACATGATACATTAAATAGTGATGGAGATACGCCATCTTGAATGTCGAAAAAATGATGAAGGTCCGAAACACGTAATAATAAAAACACTTACGAAAACAATGTGGGTTTCGACCGAAGGTCCGAAACAACGTAATAAACAACTATCAATATCATGATTAAACAGCCCTACATAGGTTTACTTTTCTGTATTGACTGGGCTTATGAAAAAAGGCATACGCCAAGCAGTGTGTTACGAGTAATGTTTTGGTGGGAGTTTAATGCCATTTCATTTTTTTTACTGTTTTTATTTTAAGACAACAATTGAAGGTAGAACTATACCATACGCTGTTCCTGGTATAAAATACAAGTTTATGACACAAGATTCTTATTCTACTGATAAACCGGAGGATGTTACCATGTGTAATGTAGAACAGGTCGTTCTAGACTACTATAAAGATCATGATTATCCAGAAGGTAAGAATAACTATTAAAGATACATTATGTAAGATTTAGATAAAGAGCTAGCCATTCGTGCTATAATAGTTCGAAAATACATAATGTAAAATGAATAATTTGAAAATTTCATTCAAATTACTCTATTACGAGCGAAGATATTAGCCTTTGAAGGTTTGACAAGAAGTGTGCAATAATTTCAAACACCGTACTTGTTGTTCGAAGCTAAGTCTCGCTCCTCTATTTTTAGCTTAATTCAAAATATGGCTGAACTGTTCTAATCTATTTAATATCGGAGAAATCCGGTTCCATCGAGAGTTGATTATGGCCTGGATAAGTTAATTAGTGTTTAATTAATAATTTAGAAAACAATCCAGGCCTAAAGAAAGACCTGCAATAGGCAGATTTAGCTCTTGTATAATGTATGTTTTAATTTTATTGAAAGATATGATGAATTTAGTTTAACAGACAGCTTATATAAAAGTAAGTGGCTATTGTTACCACGAGTCTGAGCCAAGTTTAGAACAAATTCCAAAATGGCTGCCAATCTCCCCAACACGAGCTTTGAAACAGGAGCAGTATTTTCAACGTTTTCAGCATTGAAGGCAGCAATTAATAGATGGGAAGGGCTAGGGTTAGGGTTTGGACTATTTTTACGACTATTCAGTTTTTAACTTTGCCGATGGAGGGCTGTGAAAGCATTGTCGTAACAATAGCCTGAGGACTATTTTTACGACTCGTCGTAACAATAGCCACTGCCTATATAAAAACTAGTTATCATAATTTATAAAAATATTACTCCTCTGTTTTATATAGGGGAATATCAATTTTTCCTGAATTACCAGGATCAGAGAGGGTGTGTGTTTTATATTATTGAAAGATGTGATGATGAGTATATAATTGATATCCTCTGTTGTTGATATAATTGGGATGTGTTTATAACAAGCCAGCGCCATTTATGATTTTTGCTCAAATGGGCCTCATTTAATCCCAAAAAATCCAAGCAGCGTAGTTTCGAATCCCCGGTTGTACGTGACAAGGAGTAGGGTCACCTGCTCAACCTATTGGATTTTACACAGTTCCGCCTGTTTCCTCCCACTGCTAAAGATTTATTGAAATAACATTGAACCATATGTTAGTCTCAAAATGTCCTAGTTTGTGTCAGTCTGTCTCTATATTTGTTTGTGTATTTCAGGTATCCATGCCGAAGGTTCGATCATCTCCACATTATTTACGTTATTTTTCTGGGATATTTTATTCATGGACGTACCAGACGCTTTTCATAGTTTATATCAAACAAACCCGCTTGATAAGATGAGTGAAGAATTTTATCGTAGACGGAAAGATGAGATTGATGAAAGATTGCAATGGCTGGATAATAGTTCTATTGAGGTAGGAATTATGAATTATTCACAGAAGTTTTTTACTCAGCTACTAACTCTAACCAGTTAGCGGTGGCATGCACAGGTTTGATGGTTCCTGGGAACAACTCCTTGATCGTATGCCCTGGAGAATCAATTATAGGGTCCAGTTCTGGGAAATGTGAGAAAGGAAGATATATGGATGTAAAAAAGAGATGAAATAAACTTTTTTTTCAAATTATATATAGTTCTTCCAAATGAGATCTTCTGGCCGAAAACACTTCATTTTTACAGGGGGGATCACGTGGCTAAGTGGGTAAGACGCTGGCTTGCTAGCCTGGAGGTCGGGTGTTCGATACCTGCATTGGCCGAGAAAGTTCATTCAGATTTTCCCGCGTGGTTTCCCCTTGTCAGTGATGCAGGATGGAGGGCCTGACAAGAACATCTGTCTAGTTGTTCGGATGGGACGAAAAACTGAGGTCCCGTGTACACATTGGCATGCACGTAAAAGACCCCTTGGCAGTTGGAATTCGATATAAGAGTAGGCCGTCTTCATTAGCCCAGGTTAGGAGCAGAACAGTAGGACGTTAAACCCCATTTCATTTCATTTTTTCAGATTCTTTACTCTGGTGTTGATTATTAAGACACAGGTCCAATCAGTTTCTGGGTCTGTAGCGCAGTGTGTGCAAAATAATACAACAATGATAATTTCAAATAAGAAAATTAAAATGGATGCCCAAAGCTGTTCAAGCATGTCAGTCATGGGCGTCACACTTGGGGGTTCCGGGGGGGGGGGGGGTCCGACCCCCCCCCCAATTGTTTTTCTGGGGGGGTCTGAATATACTTGGACCCCCCCCTCTCAAATTTACATAGTAGACCCTAACTCCTATTTATTTACAACAATTATTAGGATAAGTTAAGATTCTATCTGTATAAAACCTGTACATATCCCAATATGGTTTTCATTGCTAAAATAAAACAAAGAGAAAATCATCCTTGAAACATGTGTGAAGTGAAAAGTAACTGTGTTCCATAAAATTGGGTCAAGTTAATTTTTTTCTGCCACTTATCAGAGTGAATCGCATGTAGGTACCCAAAAACATTATCGCCTAAACCAAATATTTATCGCCCGCTCAGCCAGCCACGTAACCATAATACTTTGCACGCGGTGGGCCAATCAGCAAACGAGTTGTGTAGACAGCATGGCCATATGGTGTTTGTTTATATTTTTTAGGGGTTTTGAAATAGGGTTAGGGTTAGGGATTAGGGTTGCGGACCCCCCCAATATATATTTCACGACTACGCCTCTGATGTCAGTTATCTCCTCTTAGCACCTAACTTTTTGAAAAGTTAAAGAGTTTAATTTGGATGAAAATCATGTTTTATTAGATGTTTATCACTGATATATGGTTATTTCTTAGTAATTATTCTTTCTGGAATATGGGGTTTGGGCGGTCGATTGGTCTAACGTGGGCTTTAGATCATAAGGTCTGTCATTGAGTCAAATGACAGTGTTTCGATCCCACATATGTAGTAACAAGGAGTAACGTCACCTGTCCAACCTAGTGGATATTCTCCGGATCCAGCAGTTTCCTCCCACTGCTAATAAAGACTCTGCTATGTGCAAACAAATTATTGAAATAAAATCAAACCTATGTTAGTCCCAAAATAAAAATGATTTATCTTTCTTACTCTCTGTTTCTAGAACATCTGATGGTGAAGCTGTGTGTTTATTTGTATTTTCAGGATTTAGAAGAAAGAAGTAGTGATACATGGAATAAATATAATGAAACAACTTGTGCTGGTATAAACTGGGAACGATTACAATCTCTAGAATATATTCAGGTATTGTTACCCCCCCCCCCCCCCTCATCCCCTTGACCTCATTCCCTTGTCGTCACATCTGAGGTACCTGTGTTAGACAATCTATGCAATATATTCAGGTAGGGTTACACCCCTCATTCCCAACCTTCATCCCCACCTCCCCCTGCCCTAGCTACCTTTGTTAAATATTCAGGTATTGTTACACACTGACCCGCACCTCATTCCTCATCCCTCACCCTGTCTTACCTACGCTACCTGTGTTACATACAATTCAATCAAAAATAAAAACAATTCTTGTATATAGGGGTTTTGGATGGCCGAATGGTTAGTGTGTGCATGCGCGTTGTATCATAAGGTCTGTTATTGAGTCAACTGGCATGGTTTTGATTCCTGGTTGTGCGTGACAAAGAATAGGGTTGCCTGTCAAACCTCATGGGTTTCCTCTGCGTCCTCCTGTTTCCTCCCATTGCTAAAGACCACTACGCCCAAGCGAATTATTGAAATAAAATTGAACCATATGTTAGTCCCGAAATGACCTAGTTCTTGTATATTATGTTATTTACTTGCTGCTGCTCGATTTTCTAAAATCTGTACCTGACAATTGGAATTTGTCTCTTTATGATCCAATCAAAATATTAGAAATTTGTTCTTTCCCATCCAAATGAAATTTCTGTGTGAAATTCTTGCAAATTTGTTGCAAATATTATGAAATCCAAGAAATTTCTAATTAGCAAGGGGCACAAATACTATAATAGGCTGATGGATACATGTTTAGAAATAGCTTGAACTGAACGATTTATGAGATATGTTCCAGTAACCAATTACTGACACAGAAGCACTGACAGAACCCATCTCAATAATAACACCCTCACACTTTAATTTCATTGGATGTAAGATTATATTTATTTCCTCCGATCTATTTCCAGGGTTTAATCCAATGTATAGGAGGAAAGTTACTGTGTGGGCTTTTATCTCGCTATGCTAAAGATCCCCGTCATACACGGAGTGGATTCCCAGACCTCACTCTCTGGAACACAGAAAATAAAACATTTAAGGTAAATAATCTTCTTGCATAATGATAGAGGGATTTGGCAAAAAATTTAACGATATGGTTAGATAATATGGTCTGGCAAGAAGTAGGGTTGCCTATCTAACCTTGTGGGTTACCTCCCACAGCTAGAGACTCCTAAGTGCAAACGAGTTATTGAAATAAAATTGAACCATATGATAGTCCCAAAATGACCTGGTTTGTGTTGAGTGGATGTTAAACCCCCATTTCCAACTGCTTGCATAAGACTTCTTCTGATCTTCAACTCTTCTTTTTTTTTTTCTGGAGTGTTAGAGTGGTCTAACATATGCTTTTTAAATCATCAGGTCTGTCATTAAGTTTGGGGTTGTTAGGTGGCCATGAAATGAAATGAAATGGGGTTCAACGTCCTACTGTTCTGCTCCTATACTGAGCTAATGGAGATGGGCATATGCCATACAGTGTGCTATGAGGGAAATTTTGCCCGGGCAGCGGCACTATGGCCTACTCTTATATATCGAATTCCAACTGCCAAGTTATCTTTTACGTGCATTCCAATGTATACAAGGGACCTCGGTTTTTTGTCCCATCCGAAGGACTAGACAGCTGTCCTTGTCAGGCCCTCTGTCCTGCATCATTGACAAGGGGGAACCACGCCGGAAAATCGGGATGAACTTTCTCGGCCAATGCAGGGATCGAACACCCGACCTCCAGGCTAGCGAGCCAGCGCCTTACCCACTTAGCCACCGTGATCCCCCAAGGTGGCCAAATGGTTTAATGTCTGTCAAGTGGCATGGTTTTAATCCCAAACGTGTACCTGAAAATGAATAAAGTCGCCTGCCTAACTCATGTTTACTACTGAGTGGTCTAACACCTGCTCTTTAGAGCATCAGTCTGTCATTGAGCCAAGAGGCGGGGTTTTAATCCCAAACGTGTACCTGAAAATGAATAATGTCGCCTGCCTAACTTTGTGGGTTTTCTCTGGTTTACCCCATTACTAAAGACTACTGTTTTGTAGTGAATTATTGTTATAAAGTTGAACCATATGTTAGTCTCATAATGACCTAGTTTGTGTTGAATGAACATTACATTTTGTAATTTCAGTATAATTCTGTATAAATTGTATAATTCTGTATAATACTTTATATTGTGTATAATTCTGTATATTCCGTATAATTGTGTATAATTCTTTATATTCCTTATAATTCTGTATTGTGTATAATTCTGTGTATAATCTGTACAGTTCTATATATTCCATATAATTCTGTATATTCCATATAATTCTGTGTCTAATTATAATTGTGTATATTGTGTATATAATTCTGTTCATCTTGTGTATAATTCTGTGTATCTTGTGTATATATTTAACAGATTGTTGAAGTAAAAGGACCCGGTGATAGATTATCACATAAACAGATTCTATGGTTGAGTTATTTATGTAAATTAGGCATAGATGCAGAAGTCTGTCACGTTAAAGGTATGATATTTCATTCAAAGTTTTAAAATCTTTCTCATAATTTTGACCTTCCGTCATACAGATTTTCTTTAAAAAGTTGTCTGAGGAGCAGAATATTTATTATTTTGTATAAATGGCCTTATATTAAGATTATTTCTGAATTTCACACATATCCTTTACTCAGACTAATATTTGTATTATTTTTATTTATTTATTTATTATGATTTATTATTTTTATTTTTATTTATTTATTTATTGATTGATTGATTATGATTTAATATTATTATTATTTTTTTTATTTTTTTATTTATTATGATTTATTATTATGATTTATTATTTATTATTATGATTTATTATGATTATTTATTATAATGATTTATTATTATTATTATTATTATTATTTATTATTATTATTATTATGATTTATTATTATTATTTATTATTAATATTTATTATGATTATTTATTATAATGATTTATTATTATTATTATTATTATTTATTATTATAATGATTTATTATTATAATGATTTATTATTATAATGATTTATTATTTATTATTATTATTATTTATTATTATTATTATTATTTATTATGATTTATTATTTATTATGATTTATTATTATGATTTATTATTATTATTATTATTATTATGATTTATTATTATTATTTATTATGATTTATTATTATTATTATTATTTATTATTATTATTATTACAGCTGTTGGAGTGAAGAAATTGAAAGCAAGACCTTTAACTGCAACTTAAAAATTCATATCTATCCTTGTCAGTTATTTTTTTACATTACTTCAGATGATATTGTTATAAGTGGAATGCACCTTGAGCATTAATTAACTTTAATGGATCTGTGCACAATATAAGAACTCACTATTATTATTATTTAATACCCCCTCCCCCCCCCCCCCCCCCCCCGTCTCTTCTCGTTGATTAAACATACATTATGCACAAGGTAAATCTGCCTATTGCATGTCTTTCTTTAGGCCTGAAATGTTATCTAAATTATTGATTAGACATTAATTAACTTATCCAGACCATAATCAACTCTCGATGTCATCTTATGTGTTAGATTTTCAATGCTCAATGCTCATTGATGATTAAATCTAAAAATGGATAATCGAGACTATGTTTTTTTATCCTACCAACTTTAGCAATGATGATCGAGGCTATGCTTAAAATTCAAAAGCTAATATCTCGGTTCAGAGTGGAACAAATTGACTGAAATTTTCAATATATTCTATTTACATTATCTATTTTTAACTATTATAGCAAGAACAGTCAACTCTTTATCTAATCTCCCATAATGTATCTTTAATAGGACCCTAATGAAGTACCCGCATTTAAACTTTCAATACTGTAAAAAGAAAGGAAACAATTTCAGGGATTTTGAACAAATAATTCTAATTTCTCAAAAAACTATTACAGGTGTATAAAATATATTGTTTGTTAGTGTATAACGTTACTGTTTATATTTCTATAAATACTTTTGTAATTCCATTTTTTAAATATTTTTATTGTAATAAATATAATAATAGTTTTATTATTAAAAAACTTAATGTAGAATAAATATTATTCTTGTAATGCTTTTTGGCTCAGTGTGTAAGGGTCTGGCTCAGTGTGCAAGGGACTGGCTGAGTGTGTAAGGGGCTGGTTCAGTGTGTAAGGGGTTGGCTGAGTGTGGAAGGGGCTGGCTCAGTGCGCAAGGGGCTGGCTCAGTGTGTAAGGGGCTGGCTCAGTGTGTAAGGGGCTGACTCATGAAACAAGAGGTTTAGAGTTCTACAAGGGGTTGGCTCAGTGTGTAAGGGGGTGGCTCAGTGTGCAAGGGGCTGGCTCAGTGTGTAAGGGGTTGGCCGAGTGTGTAAGGGGTTGGCTCAGTGTGCAAGGGGCTGGCTCAGTGTGTAAGGAGTTGGCTCAGTGTGTAAGGAGCTGGCTCAGTGTGAAAGGGGCTGGCTCAGTGTGTAAGGGGCTGGCTCAGTGTGTAAGGGGCTGACTCATGAAACAAGAGGTTTAGGGTTCTACTTGGCTGGGAAAGTTCCTCAGGGTTTTATTTTACTGTTGTTTCCACTGTCATTGTTGTACTACGGAGGTTATGCAAGGAAAATCTTCTGGATGAGTCAGACAAACAGGGTTCTGGGTTTAATTTTGGCGGCCATCTAAATAACCCTTGACAGTTGGAATTTGGCAATGAGTGGGCAAAATTATCTCATAACACATTGCATGGCATATGTCTGTCTTCACTAAATCATTTAAACCCCATTTCATTTTATTTTAAATTATTAAACTGGATCCCAGACAATCTATGGTGGTCATGCTATGAGTAATGCTTGTTGTATGAACAGGGGTGGGGCTGAGCTCATAAAAATGTTTAGCAGTGGGAGGACCCGGGGAAAACCCACAAGGTTGGACAGCCCACCCAACTCCTTGCCACGTACAACCGAGGAATCGAAACCACACCAGTTGATTTAATGACAGACCTTATAATACAGCGCGCACGAACTAACCATTCGGCCATCCAACCCTCCTAGCTCTGCCTGCTAGCCATAGATAGATATAGGTGGGGTTTAACGTCCACCGGACATAAACCAGGTCATTTCTGGACTAACACATAGTTCAATTAATTTCATTTCAATAATTCGCATACCCTTAGGGGTCTTTAACCGTAGTGAGAACCTGGAGAGCACCCACGAGGCTGGACAGGGGACCCTACTCCAAGTCACGTAGGGAATTGCAACCACACCACTTGAATCAATGCCAGACTTTGTAAACTAAAGCGCAAGAGTTCAACCATTCGTAGGGGTGATGATTAACAGTAATGTGTTAAAGTCATTGAAAATTAAAAAATAAAAGTCATTCACAATTTATAATTTGTTATTATTAGTTTAAAATGGTCAGTTTTGTATTTTTTGAGATGTTTATTCATTTATTCATGAAATAGCATTTTATCCAGAAAAAAACGGAATATGGTCAGCTCTGAAACGGAAAATAACGGAATTCAAAATATTTAAAACGGAATTTGCAATTTTCTGAAACGGAAAATCATCACCCCTACATTCGACTATCTTCTATCACTCAATAAAACCACTCAAACATAAATTAGGGTATTCGTTAAACGCCCTGAAAACCACTAAACAGTACTCGCACATTTTATAGTTCAGTCGTGTAGCCTATATCTCAGCGATGAGCCAGCCTGACTTTTCGGGCAGACGGGTAAAGTGAAAAAAAAAATTATTTCATCTACTTGGCAAAATAAAGTGCCCGAAATCTAATAAAACACTAATTTTACGGGCTGGAATAGCAGGAAAACGCCTTTGCTGCTGTCAAATATTCCAAAATTTTCTTGGGGGGGGGGGGGGGGGTCCATACAAGGTCAGTTCCGCATTTTCGCCTCTTGAAGAAAATCGGCGCCGTCGTCTGTAAACCCGAAATTTTTTCGGGCATTTCTATTTTTGCTTCCCTTACTGTTATCGAGCCCTAATATAACACTAATTTTACTTTTCTTTTAATTGAATACCACGAATTTGTGCTGAGTTGACTATGGATTAAAATATGTTGCCTGGAGCCACTCTACTTTGTGCGACATTTTTCGGGGATCGATTATTATTTGTGAATGCAGTTGCAGCAGTCTGATTGGATGGTTGGAATTCAGAGTGGGATTTCGGTTAAAAAATCATTGGATACTTTTGGAGTTTACACGGGCATATGGTTTGATTTTATTTCAATAATTCGTCTGTGCGTAGGGATCTTTAGTAATGGGAGGAAACCGGAGGACCTGGAGAAAACCCACGAGGTTGGAGGAATGCGTATTGCCATCTTCATTAGTCTCCCCCCCCCACTGCTAAAGACCCCCACGCGCAAGCGAATTATTGAAATAAAAATTGAACCATGTGTTAGTCCCGAAATGACCTAATTTGTGTCGAGTGTACGTTAAACCCCATCTCTCTCTCTCTCTCTCTCTCTCTCTCTCTCTCTCTCAGTAGATATGTCAAAGAATCGCAAATTGAAAATCAACAAAACACAAAACAGAAAAAAGGGGGCAGGTGAATAATAAGTTATTGTAGAGGTAAAAACAAATTGACCCTATGTGGCATCTAACTTCCCATAACAAATAAACAACACCATCTTTAAATCTAAAATCATTCAATAAACAAAACAAACAAAAAAAAAAAACATTAGCCGATCAATATGTGTCATTCAAGATGAAATAAACACGACCGTATGACCTCGTAATACCCTAACAGTAAATAATCACTAATTTCATTCATCCACCTGTATATAACACCTGTATATATACATATAGACTATAAATATAGGTACATATCACACACAACTTCATCAGTTTTATACAGTTATCATCCCTAGCTGTTTCTATTCTCTACCTCTGTCAGGTAAGGTTGCGATTTAAAACAATTTCATGTATTGTTGTCTTTTAAAATTTCTCATAATTTTGTGTTTGAAGGCAATTACGTATAATTTTGTCTTTAGAAACAATTTCCTATAATATATCAAACGACGTTTCGACAATATTAAACTTAGGTTATCTGTCTATACAGTTAGCTCCGCTTCAGAACAGACACTAAGCTAGTTGACCGACATTTTAAGTTCTAAATCGATGATTTTAGTCGAAAACACTAAGTATACTTCAAGAATTTTGTTAAGTATTTATTCTGATTCCCTTTACTTTGTATGATTGATTTGAAACGGAGTAGAACCGCATTACAAAACAGTATACTAATTATTGGATATCGCGGCCTTTTAGTGCAGATACAGGGACGGATCCAGGAATTTTTGCAGGAGGGGGTTTGCCCGGTTCCTGAGAAAATGTATCCTCCTACCCCCCCCCCCCCCCGCTCGGCTTGAAATTTTTTGAGAAATACATTGTCTCTATCGTCATTTTGGCGTATATACATACACATTGATCTTTTTAAACAGAGAAATCCAACATCCTGTTTGACGTCAATTTTTATTATGAATTAATACGATGACAATGTGATTCAATTTTATTGATGCAAAGCATTAATTGTGATATCACATATGTCTATATATATCATTATCTCGCGCTTTGAGTGCCCATCCTGCCCTGCCGCATCATCTGACGATAAAGGATAAAGCACAATTATGACACTTCTCTCATAAAAAAGGTTGGTTTATAAAAGATTTTATGTAGCAGAGCAGGGGGTGGGGGGTGGACCAGATAACTTTTATATTACAGGTTAAAGTTGTAGACTAGTATTACCAGATAACTTTTATATTACAGGTTATAATTAAAGGTTTAGACTTGTTTTACCTGATAACTTTTATATACAGGTTAAAGTTGCAGGAGATAAACATGGCATCTAGTAGAAATCTGATGACTTTATTCCTGGTTACAGTAACTGTTATTTTAGCCATTAAAGGTAAGGTTAGGTATATTTACAGATAATCACGTGATATGGAATCTGATAAGACCATGCATTTTTGCAGAGAACTGGGATAATCCCGTGGTCTTGAATCTCATTTGAAAACAAGCAGGATTGATATGTTTAGACTGTATTCGCCACAATTAAAAGAAAAAGTACGGCTTAAGTCAACTATTAGACTTTTTAACTAAGCACATATTCACCAAACGAAATCCCCAAATGTAAAACCCTTGCTTCATTTGTTTTTAGCTGACGATTTCTATGAAAACAACCAAGGTAGAAATGGTTTCAGAAATGATTTTGATGATGGTAATGGTGGACGACGTTTTAATGGAGGATTTGGATTCAACCAAGGATTTAATGGCCGGTTTGGATCACCCTTCAACCAAGGCTCGCGTAGATTTGGTAACCCAGGTTTAAACAGCGGATTTGGATTTCCTACCCAAGGATTTGGTTTTCCCAACCAAGGATTTGGATTTCCCACCCGAGGATTTGGAATTCCCACCCAAGGATTTGGATTTCCTAACCAAGGATTTGGATTTCCCAATCAAGGCATTAACCCCAGATTCCGAAACAACAATCAATTTTTTGATTAATCTTTAGACGAAAAGTATTCAAATTAAAACAACATAAATGTTTATCACTGAACCAAGTTTCCTGGCAGGGCGAACGCTTTTCCGAAATCCTATTACTTTTATATAAACAATATACATGGATTCGTAGGCCTATGTATTACAGTGTTATTACAGATTAATGGATATGCCTTCCTAATATATAAGTGAACAATGCGACTACTTTCAACAAATATCTCAATGTCAAGCTGGTGATCAGTCAAGAAAGATGTTTATCTCTTTCCATAAATTTGATTAGTTCAGGCAGGAGGACAAAACACCTGAGTGACTATCTTGTACGATACAAATATTGAGATTGACTTGTGATGAACAGAACCATGGATGTTGGATTTTATAATTGTTATAAAAATATAATGTGATATATATAAATATAAGTAATAAATCATTGAATATATTTCCGTGTCATTTCTGATTTGAGACATAAGATTGATGAGCTGCAATGGAATGAGGTTTAACGT